AATATAATCTCCCTCTTGCCTATGAACAGCTTTTAATGTGAATATTGGAGCGCTGATGACGCAGAGAGGAGCTCTGCACCCAGGGGAAACCTCTCCCCCTCTCTGGTCCTGACTTTTGAAGCTTTCTGAGTGCAGACAAACAGAAGACACTGTGTGCATTCTAACAATGCTGTTTATCGTATTAAAGCTGACTCCTTCTACTTGTTTTGAGATGAGGTTTTACCTGTTCACGCTCTTACCAAAACTTCTCGTTGGCACTTTCAATCACAACAGTAAATTGTAGGTGTGCTAAAGACACGCTAACTGGCACATTAAATAAACTGTAAGAAAAATTAGGGAGCAGGTTTTGTGTGTGTTCTGAAATAAAAGGAAAGGTAAGCCTTTTTTCAGACTTGAAGCTGAGTAAATGTACACCTGTATTTCATTGCAACACATCTTGAAGGACCAGGATACTTACGAAGAAGAATACTTGACCCTGTAAAGCCAGAACTATTAAATATTTGCTAGAAAGTTTATTTCTTTTTAAACTGGAGTGCTTATTGACAATTTTTGAAAGAAGAAATAAAATATTAAGTATAATTTTTGCTACATCTGACATTTTTGTGGTATATGTACTGTATATGAAAGATGTACATAGTCACTGTGAAGTCCAGTTTAGCATTTCACATGTGTCCTGCAAGGTCACTGGTCATTCTGTAGCAACCTGTCTATCATAAGTTGGGGCCCACTCTAACTAATAATACCACTTTATCCTCCTTTTTTATTCTTTTGGTGACTATAATTTACAATATGAACATCATATTATAGTAAATAAAACATGAAACCAGTAACTGACTCATCAGGAATGTGTTTGTTGACGTCATAGAACAAAATGAGCTGTCATTTCCTGATAAACTGTACAGACTTCTTTTTGCTCCTAGAGAGGTTGCCCCCTGCTGGGCATTAAACAGAATGCATTGTCTACAGACATCTTCAATATACAGTCTATGAAAGTCCATTTGCATTAGGAGTTGTAACAGTGTTTAGTTGATTTGTACATGTCACAGTAGCATGAGCATGAACGCAATGTTCATGCTCATGCTACTGTGACTAGCAGAAAAACTGAAGTGTAATGAAATGATCGTTGTTATACGTCCATATCTTTAAAAACGTGGCTTCATACTCACATTTTTTCTTCTCTTATGTATTACAATGATCTAAATCAGGTATTACATCACTGCACTTTTTTCTGACTGGCATTATAGCATCTTATCAGCACCTTGTTATGAGCCAGTACCCTGGTTAGGCTGTCTCTACAGTTGTAAAGATGTTTTGCTGTTTCCTGTAGCTACAAAGCAACTAAATATCTTGTTGCCTACATATGGCTGAATGTAATTAAGAAAAACAGTAAATTTTGCCTCTTGTCGAGCTGTTTGGGCACACTTGTTGCAATATTATGGAGCTGCTATGCACTTTATTTGTCATTAAAGCAGATGGGACGGAACTAAACACTGTTTTTCCATTTCTTAGTGAGATCATGATTTGAGTGAGGATACTCTAAACTGAAAACACATGGACACAAGCAGTGACCAAGGCTTAAAAAAAATAATTCAGCACACATTTTGGCATGTGATTGCAGTACTTAATGCAGATAATAAAAGCTTTTGTACAACTTCAGGTATTTGTTTCAGAAACTTCTGTACTATTTTGTATCCACAGCTTTCAGATATTTCAGTTATCATCACATAGCTTCTAGATACACGTCAGAATCTCTTGATCCAGACATAGAAAAGTGCCAGTGCTTGAAGTACACTGCAATCCAGTGTTGCTGCCAGTCAAAACCTTTTTGTGTCTACATTTGGCTATCAAAGCTTGCCGTATTTCGTGCGAAAAATATTAGTATAAATGTTGTGAAACTCTCCCGGCAGAGGCTTCCTGGAGACACTGAGAAGACTTTCTACACCGGTGGATGACACAGCACCGTGGGCTGTGTAAAGGTGCACAACAAACTAAAAATACCATGCAGGTTAGATAAAACCCTGTAGTTTGTTAGGTTGCTACAATATGTGTAATGTTCATGCAAAAACATATTTCAAAAATAGTTTGCAACATAATTGGTTGCATGTGTAAGACAGTGTGAGTCAAAGGTGCCGGGCCTGGAAGCTCTGCTCATAGATAATGCAATTGCAAGTATAAAAAAAAAATCCTACCATATAAATATATAATGAGCTGATTCTGTCCCCTTGTAGTAACATGAATGAGCTGTGACACACACTGAGTGACTGCGGAGGCAGTTTGACAGACAGCAGCAGCAGCAACATAGAAGTAATTCCTGGTCAGGTAAGCTAGTATGCAGGGCTGAATGAAGTCTCCAGAGACTCCACTGAGCAGAGTAAGGGGACAGATGGGATTCATTTATCATTTATCCCCATCGGTGGGACTTTTTTTGTCCTTTTTACCCCACTGTGTTACACTCCCACGGGAACCTCATCCCATCCGCCTCCTGGTCTTTATTTTTCTCTGACATCAGCAGCAGCGTGAGATGATCAAGGCTGATAAAGATGATGACGATGATCATAAGTTTGCAAAAAGAGAAGGTGTGTGCACATCGAGAGCTATATTTAGATCAACAGTGTCTGAATTATAGCTCCTAAAAACGTTTTATTGTTGGACTGAAAAGAGGAAGCGGTCTGACTCAGTTCTGTGGTCCACACAACAAAACACATATACAGAACGTGTATTCAGAATAGGTGAATGAAATTTTGCTCTCACAACAAAAATCTAACTATTAATTATTTTTCTGAAAGAGGAAAAAGAGAAGCAGCATTTATATTTAGTCCAAGCCAGACATTTATAAAAGAGCTTTAAAAATCGCTGATGAAGCTGACCTTCTGTAGTCCATTAAAACATTTTAGAGCTTTAATTCAAAGACATCACTTTTGCCCCCCTTTAAAGGGATAATCCACCTATTTTCCCAATCAGGGTTTGAAAACAGCTGTAATATGTCTTTTTACAAACTGTGGATTGTAATTTATTAAATATACATGACAAGTAATGCTGAATAAAAGATAGCATATGTTGCATTAAGGACAATTCTGTTTTACCAATCTTTGCAATTTCCTTAACAAATTCTAGTATAAATGAATTAATATTTTCCCAATTAATGTACTTAAAAGTCTTTGCACATGTCTCACTTTACAACATGCGAACTATTATTTATCTTAAATATCTACCGTTGCATTACTTTACAAGTAACACGATTGAGCTAAGGGGACTAAATGGGTGGAAAGAAATGGAAAGATGCACCCAGACCTCACTCATTGCACGATGTGAGTTTGCGTAACGAACCCTTATCCAGCTGTGGGAAAAAATACTCTCACTAAGCAGCACTAATTCAAGCTTTCGGCTGCGAGCTCTCTCTGAGCAGATCGCTCCCGCAGCTGCAGCACATGCTCTGCTGGATGCTCGAGATGAGCGAGTTAAGGCTACGGGACCCCCTCATTTAAGATCAGACACGAGGCATACAGAGAACTCTAACAGCTTAACATCTACATACATCCACATCACCTAAGATCATTAATCTAAAGCTCTAAAAAGTCAGGACGTGTGCCGTCCTGTTACGCACAGAGTCTCGAATCCCCTCTCGAATTACTCAAAATTCTCCCAAATGCAATGCTCAAGTTTTTACACTGTTCGCGCACACAAGTTGCGACATAGTCACTTAAATTTCAGTACTCACTCAGAAGCAGAGCAACAGGCAAGAAGAGCAAGCACGCAGAGTTCATCAGAGATGTCATGCTGACCCCACAAGTTCGTCCTCCGACCTCACAAGTTTCAAGTTTGCACCGGAAATTCCAAAGTTTTCCTTTGTTTTATCTTTTAGTTTTTCAAAGAAAAGAAGAGTCCGGATGTCGCTCCCCCGCTGCCGGTCAAAGTGTTCTCCTCCCGTCCTCGTTGCAGCTCTGTACTCCAGCGAGCATCCACGGCGCGCTCATCCGCTGCGCTGAAGGGGAGGGCGCGTCCGTGTAAAAGAGGGGGAGGAGGAGGAAGGTCTACAGCAGAGTCCCCAGAGCAAGGATGCTCTGAATTATCAGCACAAGGCGTTTAAAATGACCAAGGAACCACTACCAACTTCTTTCTATACACTTTACTTCAGTGGTTTCCAACATAGGGGGCTGGAGCTCTCTAGGAGGCCAGGAGACAAATGTGAAGGGCCAAGATTAGTGAAGGAGGGAAAGAAAGTTTAAATTCCTGGTTTGGTGTGTTTCTTTAGACAGATTATCTGCTTAAAATTTCTTTAAATTGAAAGAAAAAAGAAGTGTCACTGCAATATTAAAGCCAGTGATCATTAATCTGAAAAACGTCCCAGCAATCGATGTGATATATTATTATTATTAGACAGCTGTAGGTTGGTTCCCAGCCAAAGGGAGTTTGTATCCTCAGAAGCTGAGGAACTGTGAGATGATTAATGATTTCCAACTCTTTACTTTGTAAAGTAATGCACAATTTGTCTTCATGAGGCTCGTGATTTAACAGAACAATCTAGTAAGGGAAGGATGTTTGTTCTAGTGCAGAGGTGGGCAACTCCAGGCCTCGAGGTCCTGCAGGTTTTAGATCGCACCCTGGGTCAACACACCTGAATCAAATGATTAGTTCATTGCCAGGCCTCTGGAGAACTACTGAATCAGCTGTGTTGGATCAAGGACACATCTAAAACCTGCAGGACACCGTCCCTCGAGGCCTGGAGTTGCCCACCCCTGTTCTAGTGGTACAGCAAAAACTCATGGAAAACGGTCACATGTTTTTGTACAGGTTTATGAGCCAAAACCCATGAAGTCTTTTATCCCAGTTTCTTTTTTTTTTTTTACTAAACTTAAAGCGACAAAAAACGGAAACATTCTCATTTAAAATCCCCCAACAGTAATTTAATGGTTGCTGCTAACTTTTGTTGGAGGTCCATCACTATATATCTGCTATAGGAAGTAGCCTGACCTTCCCACAGACACACCAAGACACCTGAATTTGAACACGTTTTGTTTTTTTTTTATTCCAAAATGTTTGGGGTAAAACAAACCGTAAAAGATACAACATAATTAACCAAGCAGAGGGAAATGAACACAATGGAAAGAGAAAAAAAAAATCCACATGAACTTCTGTTCTGTTTCTCATGCAGAGCTCCCAGTGAACTGCTAAGTAGTCAAAATTCTTTCTTCTTCAAACACTGAAATGAGAGTTCAAATGTCCGTACTGATCACCTGCCTCCGGACAAATGTTTGCAAAGAAAACATACAGCTTCTCCTCCACTGTGGTGCCTGAGCCTTCCCACATATTTCAGTGACATAAATGATTGTAAAACTTAGATGGATCAGGGGTGTGTGTGTGTGTGTGTGTGTGTGTGTGTGTGCGCGCGCGCAAGTTATCATCCAAAACAGGTAAATTACAGTAAGGCACTTTGCTAGTCAAACCCAACAGATTCTGAACAAACACTTGAAATGAACTAAACTTTTATTTTACAATCAGCAATTCAGTGCAGCCACCCAGTCATGAAACAATGAGGTGTGTGAATGGGATCTACACAAAATATCATACACTTTGAACTCAGTGTAAATGTGAACAAATGGTGCGCTTACAATCTAAAGGCAGGCTTTTCATTGATACTGAAAGAGCAGGAATGACTTCTGGATTCAAAGCCTAAATTTCAAGCAGGATGGATGTCCAAGTGCTGCCTCCTAGAGCCTAAGAGAAGTCACTGCACATTGAGTTTACAAGCAATATTTGCAATTGCCAGGTAAAACAACAGGATCTGTAACATTTAATGTTTACCAAGGTTCCTTTTTTTTTCCAATTATTAAGCTACTTTGACAAGTTTTAACGCAAGTATACCGGTACATGGCTTACAAATACTAAATGTTTATATAAAAAAGGGAAGAAAAAAAACATGGGGAGAAGTCTGTGGACAGAGCTGTACATGTGGACGGCTGCCGGCTTCAATATTGAGCTCCAAACATTTCAGGTTTTGAAGGGGAATTCTTTACAGCCTGGAAGACCTCTGCAAACATTTCTTACACTCAATGTATCCTTCAGAAAATCCTCTTTAGAGTGATTTCTAAAACCAAAGCAGGTGAAAAAGTCATGAGCAAATTGCATTATTGTCTATCAAAAAGGTTTATAGTGTTGATTCTCTTCAAAGATCTAGTCTGGCAAGGGCCAAACAAATAGGAGACCTATTTCTTAATAGGTTGGAGACCTATTAAGAAACAGCTCATAGGAAATATGCCACCAACGAAGAAAAAGAAAATTGGCTTTGGGTGGTACATATTCTTTTGGTTGCCAGGATTAGCTTCAAAAAGAAAAAAAGAAAAGAAAGAAAAAGCAAAGAAAAACTGAACTAAGGGAGGATAATCCTACGACTACCAAATTCCAGGCTTTAGCAGAAGGATGCTGGTCTGTGTGGAAGAAAGTAACAATGTGTACAAGCCTGCTGTTTGCTCTTAAGGCCAAAATAGAAGGCGACATTTTGAGGCAAAGCATGTTTTCTTTCTGTTGCTCAGAAGTAGCCCCCTGCATCAAAACTTGTTCAGCATCCCAAAACATGCCTGGCAGGTAGCTTAGAGGAAACAGCACAACAAAAGGAACAGCCCCGTCTGGCCTCACATGGACCACTCGGCTGGACATTCTTCAAGTCTTATGCACGTCTGGATGATGTAAAATCAAACAGTGTCAGGTTGTTTGTATGTTTTTTTTCCTCATTCTTGTTTTTTCAGTTGTTGTTAAGGGGGATGAAAGAATCTCAGCACTCTCTTGCTGTCATGGCTGAGACAGTCTTGATGGAAGAGACGACCACCAGGTCTCTTGGGTCAATAAAGCAGCTGTAACAAAGGTCTGGATGTAGCTACAGTGAACTTAAGAGTCTCTGAACATAAATCAACAGAAAGCTTTCACCCCAGACCATTATTGTCTTAAAGAAAACAACAAAAAGAAAAAAGAACCAAAAAACTGAGAAACTAAAAACTGTCCATTTCTTGACTTGACACTTCACTGGTGCAGAAAAGGGGGAAGGAGGAGAAATGAAACAAGGAGAGACGCATCCTGATCAGGATCCAAGAAACTGGAGAAGCTGTCCTTGGTGCTTTCTCCTATGAAACACTACCGGGGGGGGAACAACAACAAAAAAACGGTGGACATATGATCGGCATCAAGAGGAAAACCACTCTTTGGCAGCAGCCTTTAAACCGACAACTAGTGGTTGACGAGTCCCTGTAGCATCATCATCAGGCGCCGCGCCCTCTTGCTGAGCGGGCTGTGGGGGTCCTGCTGCAGGAAGGCAAAGAGCTTTGGTCTGACCTGGGCCAGCACGGACGACATGTGGTCTCTGGTCAGGGGGTCGCTGTGGTCCAGATTCATTACCGCATCCTCCAGGTAGCTAAAAAGGAGGGAAAGAGAAAGAGGTCAGATAACAATGAACACCTACAGAGGCAATGGCAGGCTCAAGGAAAAGAAAGCGTTTGTGGTCATTTGGTGGAAAAAAAATTGGAAAATTTAAAGGTTTGCATATACAACCTGAAACTTCATTCCATCAGCAGTAAGTTATTAACATATAAAAGCACCAGAAGGACAATTTGCACAAATGACAATTTTGGGGCTTTTGAGTAGGGATGCCAAAATCATTTAACATTGAGGGCCACATACAGCCAACCTTGATGTTAAGTGGGCCAGACAAGTGAAAATGCATTTTCTGACAATGTAAAACATGTTTAACTGCACATTTAATCCCTGAGATAGCTTAATATAAGACAAAGTAGTACAATTTAAATGGCACATCTGAGTATTTTTCTACATGATTAATGTGTAAAATTACAGAGGGTTCTGGTAGCTCACAACCCAGATTGTCCCATATTTATAAAACAGTTTTTGTTGATTATTGTTGTTTTTAAAACTAACATTTCTATAGTAGACACTAAAGTAATGACAGTAAAACTTTTCTGTCATTTAATTGTCATCTATTACTTATTTATTTTGGTGTAGTATGCATGGCCGTGAGAGAGGTCTTTAGTAGCACGAAAAGCTACAAAACGTGTAAAAACAAAAAAAATACTATTAAAAGTCAAAAAAAATGTATGCCCTCTTCCACATTTTGTAAAGCTGTCCAGTGGGCCAGATTGGAGTCTTTAATGGGCCAATTCTGGCCCCCGGGCCTTATGTCTGACACCCCTGCTTCAGAAGGAGAGCAAGCCGAGTTCTCATTTTGCTTTCAAAGTTTGAATGTCAAGCCTGTGAACATTGTGCTTTCATCAAACTGCCCAGCAGAAATCAGCATCACCTGCCTCCTGTCCTCTCGCTCGGGATGCACTACACTTAACTCCTGAATTAATTGTAAGAGTCAGACATCTGGTGGTGAGAGTGTCCAGCTGTACAGTGGAAATGACCATTCATCACCGTGTCCGGAGTGCTACCTGATCCCAGTCTAACATTAGAGCTGTTCCCATGTCGCCAGTTGGTCTCCTGCCAGAGCCCCACAACACACACTGCAGGTCTATCAAATCCCCCTCACCACTGCCAGCACACTGTTTAAAGGGGCTTTTAATGTCACTGCACATATCAGCACAGATACCGTATGTCTCTCTGAAAGTTAATGTCTTGCCGAAGTTAATTTGGCTGTAACTGCATTTTGTCAAACACCTCAAAACCACATATTTAATTGTTTTTCCACGCTGCCTCAATTGTTCTCGTATCCATTTGTGCAACAGTGTGTACTTCACAGCTAGCTAATGATGCAGCTAAGAGCACAGATTTTGTGCATAATGACACCCTCTGTAGTCCCAACAATCCTAGCTGTGCTTTGGGAATCTTTTATGAGCTTCTTCTGAAATACTTCTAATCACAAGTCCTGAAAACGAAGCCTGAAGACAGCTCTGTGGTATCTTTACCCGGATGTGAACTACAATTTACTCCACATATACTGTGTACTTAACAGTCTGATTTATTTTTGCTCATGAGTGAAAGCTTTCCTTCATAATTAAAGTTAGCCAGCAGTTAACACCAGAAACAATGGTGTTAACTGCTTATAATCTTTTTCTTTTTTTTTTTTATTTAAAATAAAACTCAGAGCTATGATTTTCTCAGTCTTAATAAGGTTTCTATAGTGCACTCTTCTCTGCTGATGGCACACAAAGGTCCACATTAGCAGCTGTAGTATAAACTGAGAAACAAACAGATGATGTGGACACAGCGCAATGCTGTAGAGGGACTCAGACACAAAGAGGTTTTCAGGGAGAAATGGGTATGAGAGGACAAGCTCTTCTCAGAAGAGAGGGGCACAGTGAGAGTGCTTTCTGATGTCGGGCTATCCATGAATATTCTAAATGATAAAAATCACAAAGGGAACAAAAAATCAGCTATTTGACTGTAAAAACTATCATTCAGTTGCAAGGAGGGGAAAAAAGCAGCACTGCTGGGTCCTGTCTTGCTCTGAGCTGCACCAAAAGCTGAGTTTCTACCAAAAAAAAAAAAAAAGTTGCCAGGGGCATTGAAAGAGGATAATCCACCTCTGATACTTTATGCTGTGTGGCACAGCGGGGAAAGCTGCGTCTCTCTCACTGCTTCAGACAAGATACAATACCACGTGTACAGGGAGAGAGCTGAAGGATTTATCCTACTAAATTTGCAGAATATACAGATATGAGGTGAAAAAGTGCAAGTAAAGTCTGTTAAGTCTTAATAGAATATAATAGAATATAATATATATTCTATTCTTAACCTAATTGATTCACTAATTTTGTGATGTGCAAATATC